GGGCGAGGGGTCTATTTGGGGGGAAACAAATTATATATATATATATATATCTCACAAGCGGCTCTCTTCTGAGATCCCACAGACAGAACGCAGGAGTTCCATCTCTCCGATCCGACGGCATATATAGGAGATCTCACGGTATGAGTGTTACTGTATTATATATGAGAGATTGTGTATAATCGGAGATGTAATGCTGCCCTCATGCAGACTCAGTACAGATCTGTACTGATGACTGTGGTCGGTGTATGTATGTGGAGCTCTTTTAGGAGAAGGTGGGTGACTCTGAGAAGAGCCTTTGGGGTGTGGAGGAGATGAAGAAGCTCCGTCTTATCTCTTCTTGGGCTTGGCGGTCTTCTTAGCCGGACTCTTGGCTGTCTTGGGCTTCGGCGCCTTCTTAGCCGTACTCTTGGATGTCTTCGATTTCGGCGCCTTCTTAGCCGGGCTCTTGGCTACTTTCTGGGCTGCAGCTTTGGGCTTCTTGGGGCTCTTTGGCGGGAGCCAGCTTTTTTGGGGTTTTGGCTTTGGTTGTTTTTTTTACGATGATATCACCCAGCCCCCCTACCACAGCCAAAACACATGAAACTTGCTGGTTAGTTAGTGCCATGTTTGTGCTGGTTTGTGCTGGTTTGTGCCATTTAAATCTGCATTCTATCTCCTTTCGTTTTTGATAGGAATGCACCGATACCGGTATTTCGGTATCGTGTACTGATATTTTTTTTTCCGGTACTCGCCGATACCGAATACCAATAATGGAAGCCCCATTAAGGAAACCAGGCTGCGTGTAATGACTCGACGAGGGAGCACGAAACCGGCTTCCAGGCCAATCGGAAAGCTGGGGCGCCGCATCATTACGAGGCGCCCAGCTTCCTGATTGGGCAGCTTCCCGGCCAATCGGGAAACCGGGCAGCGCGTCATTACACGCTGCCTGGTTTCCTGATTGGCCGGGAGGCCGGCTCCATGCTCTCTCGTCACAAGTGACGAGGGAGCATGGAGCCGGCTTCCCGTTCAATCAGGAAGCCGGGCAGCGTGTAATGTCGTGCTGCCTGGCTTCCTAATAGAGGAAGTATCGGGCTGGGCATCGGAGTATTTGGGAGAGTACTCGCCCAAGTACTCGGCATCGGCACTGATACTAGTATCGGTGCATCCCTAGTTTTTGAGTTAACTATTTATTAAAAGGTTACCCAGGCCCCATTCAACAGCCAAAACACATGAAAACAGGCTGGTTGGTTAGTTTGTGTAAAAATTTACATTTGTGCTGCTGTAATTTTTAAGCTAATAGTATTTATAAGTCACCAAAGGTGCACTTTGGTTTTAGGATAATTGCTTTTATTTAAAAAATAAAAGCAGCACAAACGTAAATTGTTATGGCACAAACGTGGCACTAAGCAGCTTAGTTGTAGGGGGGCTGGGTGACCTTTAGTGTCCCTTAATCAATAGTTAATAACTCGAAAAAGAAAGGAGATAGAATGGAGATTTAAACTGCACAAAGGTGGCACTATCCATCCAGCCCGGTTACATGTCTTTTGGCTGTTGTAGTGGGGCTGGTAGATTTCATCATCTTAAAAATAAAATTGCTATTATCTTAAAAATAAAAGCAGCACAAATGTCAATTTTTACGGTCGAACCAGAAAAATTCTCCCATTTAGTTCACTTTCCAAATCGTCTATATTGGTCTAGATATTGAAACTCTCCTACCAGGTCACCTTTTAGTAAATAGGCCTCTAAGGGTTTTAGTGAGTTAAGAAAATATAGAAACAATAAACTTACAATGAAGAAAGTACAACACGTCTTTACTTAGTAATGGCAGAATTTCAAATAGGTTTAAATAAGTTAACAACATATAGAAAATAAACTGAAATCACAAAATACAACAAATTTCTTCTTATTACGTAAATAAGAGCAGCCATTCCAGCGAATAACAAGTGCGTCATAAAAAGGAAAATCTACATAAAAACAGAACAGAATGCAATGATTTACAAATCTCATAACCCAGATTTTATTCACAAGAGAAAGTACTGGCTCCGTGTTCTCTGCACTGTGGTAAAAAAAATAAAAAAAATTCCACACGGCAGTGTTCAGGTTTGGCTTGAAGAAAAGGTGTCAACCCTATATTAGAACCCCCCCCCCTTTCAATTCAGACCCCCCCTTCACATCAGCACCC